GTATCGGATGGATGTAAATATAACGGGTTATTCACATCTCGTATCACCGTAGTTCTGTTTGGATCAGCAACTGGAATCTCCATAGAACGAAATGAAATTGAATCTTAAGAGAAATTTGTGAGGAGCAAGACGAATCTGAATCTGAATCAACAAGTGCAATCGCTGGAAAAATCAAGAGGAATCTGGAAGATTCTAGAAAAAAATCAATTTGGCGTGCCCTAGCTCTGATACCATGTTAAGAAGAGAGCATTTGGGAAAAAACTCTGTTGTATTTAAATTTGTACAGTACGTTTCTAAGAAGGGAAAAATAGAGTTTATATAGCTGAGTATTTAGAGAGCTTTCTTTCTATACAACCAGCTCTAGACTAAGTACATATATATATATATATATACATTATATACTTCTTAATAATTTGCAAATCAATAATTACCATAAATTATGCTGTCAGAAAGAAACGAGATTGCATTCTTTAGACTTAAGGGATTGACTCGAACTTTTCTTAAGAATTCCAGCAGCCTCAGCAGTTGAGATCTTCATCACCAATCACCATTGCATTATTTGGTGGTTGAAAATAATGTTGAAATACAAAAGGTAAATCATATATATTTTCCACAAATCTAGCAGGAAAAAAATTGATTTTTTGTTTTTGCCAAAAAAATAAACGTAGAAAATGGAAAATTAGGCTACTTAACTAACCCAACAAAAATATAATTCTTCGCTTCGCAAGCAAGACACATAAATTGTGAAGTTTCTTCAACAAACATGACCAGTTAAGTACTGCAAGAAAACAATAAGATATTGCTAAAATCACTAATTAAATTGTTATTCTCATTATTATTTTTTTAAAATAATTATCAATACACATTCCACTACATCATTCACTCATTAGCAATAACTATTATATAACAAATATTAATAAAAAAGTATATTGATAATTTTTTAAAAAATTGATGAAAATAATAATTTAGTTAATAAATTTAACACTACCCAAAACAATATTGTCTACTTTTCCTTTTGCTTCCCAAATATATTGTTTGGCTTAGTCCTTTTGGTTTGCAAATTCGACTGAGAGCACTACTTGTCAAAGCAAATATGAAGTCTGCCCGCACGACAGAATTTCGCCAAATATCTCGTTAAAGACAGCAGCTGGAATAATAATAATAATAATAAAAGCACTTCAATCTTATTTTTCCATCTTCTTATTTCTGGAGAAATTGTGTCTTTTTATCTTAAAAATATATAAAAAAGAAATGTTGACTTTGTGCGATTGCCTTTCGATCATGTTCATTCCATACCTACGAGTATAGTAGGGATGGTCGTGGAAAAAGTATGAAATGAGTATTAATTCTAATCCACTAAATAAATATTTATTTAAAATATTCAATAGTTAATGAGACAGCTAAAAATAACAAAATTCTTATCCGTTAATATAATTTCAAGATATATGTACTTATTTTATATCATACTAATACCTATATATATATTGAAAAATAATTTAACATACAAGGATGTTAATGTACAAACTTTATAAATTAGGGATCAAAATGTTTTTATGAGAACTTTGAGGACCAAAAACTTATAAATAAAGAACAAAATTGTAAAAAAATGTTAATTTTAAGGAACAAAATTATTTCTTTCTTTTATTTATTATTATTATTATTTTTTTTTTTTGAAAATTTCAAAAACTAAAATGAAAATTTTTGAATTTTTTTTAACACTTATAAATGAGTATTAAGTAAACAAAAAATATGGATATGGACAAAATATAAGTCTACGGGAGACATATGCCAGAAATGGATGAAAACTATCCTATCGTGTAACCCAAAATTCAATAAATCTTCTGATGAATAAGAAAAAAATAATTTATTTTGAAAATTAATATACATGTCCCGGAAATGGCCGTTCCGGTAATGACACAAACAGTTGGTATGGGACATTAAACTCCTTACCTTACCCTACCCTCAGGCCTATATGTATTTCGGCTGATAGTGTGGTAAAGAATTCAAAGATTTTGTATTAGTGTCCAGAAAATAAAAATAAAAATTGAGAGCTAATACAAATTGAGAGCAAATGGCTCGGTTGGCTCTGCCATACAGCCATAGTGGCTAGCGTCATTTGTCGATAAATTTTATGTTATTGATGATGCTAGTAATATTTATTTTATAGAAGAAACATAGATATAAAGGGAAAAAAGAAATAAAAAATCATAAAAAATAAATATAATATTTTTAATGAATCCAGATATGAATTTTTTTATGTCTTTTTTTCTTGTAAAATAAATATTGTTAGTATTTTAAAATTTCTTCAACTTAGATTGCTAAAATCAAAGCTTCTAGAAATCTTGAACTTTCAGTTTTTTCAAAGTGTTTTTTTTTTTTTTTTTTTTTTTTTTTTTTTTTTAAGATCAGCCACCCACGACCACGATGATCTTTTATGTAACGCAAGTCCCTATCTATGCGGCGCATTGTGTGGAAGAAAGTCTCAAATTATTGAAAATTTCCATTTTCGTAAAGCTTCTGAGAATCCTATCATGCTCATTCCATTTTATTCCTATATATCACGTGTTGTTACTGTACAATAAGTACAAGTTAAAACTTCACGTTGATTAAGAAAAAACTTTATGCTGAGATGTCAAATTCAAAAGATTTGAGAATTTTAAATATAAAAGTAATGATGGTGTTAATGGTAAATGACAATAACCATAAAAAGTGCATGATGTTTTATAGAATTCGAAATTTATATTTGATAAAAAAAAAAATTATTTAGTGATCAACTTATTTATTATTAGATTAACAACTTATTAATATTTATTTTTTTAATTTTAAATGATGTATAATAAACATAAGAGAGAATTGAGGAAATCGAAGCTATTTAAAACAAAAAGCGAGGCTACTTTCATGATCTTGGGTCATCATCACCTATGATTACTAAAATATCCATTTGGATAATGAAGTACTTTACAATGAAAAAATATTCAATTCAAATCCCTAACAAAATTGGAATTAGGCATAAAATTGTAGTTAGATCTCAACTCAACTCAAATCCTTAGAATTGTTAAAATCGTTATTTGAGAGGACTTACATAGGATTTTACAAAAGTCGTTTTGAGCTATTTTCATGGTTGTAAAATATTGTGTTCTATACTTGAAATATTCATGATAAGCAAGTATAAGTATAATTCAATGTTTCTTCCACCTAACTTATTCACTCCAAAAACTCGTCCTCGGTTCGGATTGCGGTCGCAACTCACTCGCATGAAGCCGAATCGCTAGTAATTGTCGATCGGCCATACGACGGTGAATTCGTTCCCGGCCGTGTATATACCGCCTCGTTACACTATGGGAGCCGATCATGCCCGAAGTCATTACCTTAACCACAAGGGGGATGCCTAAGGCGAGCTAATGACTAGAGTGACATCATAACAAGGTAGCCGTACCGAAAGGTGTGGTCGGATCACCTCTTTTTAGGGAGAGGTAATGCTTGTTGGGTATTTTGGTTTGACACTGCTTCACACCCAAAAAGAAAGGAGCTACGTATGAGTTAAACTTATCGACGGAAGTCCTCGTTTCATTTCTCGACGGTGAAATAAGACCAAGCTCACGAGCTTATTATCCAAGGTCGGAACAAGTTGATAGGATCCCCTTTTTACGCCACATGTCCCTCCCGCACGATGACATGGGGACGTAAAAAGGAAAGAGAGGGATGGGGTTTCTCTCGCTTTTGGCATAGCGGACCCCCGGTGGAAAGCCTACACGATGGGCTATTAGCTCAATGGTAGAGCGCGCCCCCGATAATTGCATCGTTGTGCCTGGGCCGTAAGGGTTCTCGCACGCATGGATAGTTCAATGTGCTCATCAGCGCCTGATCCCGAGATGTGGATCATCCAAGGCACATTAGCATGGCGTACTTCTCCTGTTCGAACCGAAGTTTGGAACCAAACTTCTCCTCAGGAGGATAGATGGGGCGATTCAGGTGAGATCCAATGTAGATCTAACTTTCTATTCACTCGTGGGATCTAGGCGATCCGAGGGGGACCACCACGACTCCTCTCTTCTCGAGAATCCATACATCCCTTATCGGTGTATGGACGGTTATCTCTCAAGTACAGGTTTAGGTTCACCCTCAATGGGAAATTAAAATAGAGCACCTAACAACATATCTTCACGGACCAAAAACTACGAGATCGCTCCTTTCATTCCGAGGCAACGGAGGGATCGTACCATTTGAGCCTTTTTTTCATGCTTTTCCCGGAGGTCTAGAGAAAGCCGCAATCAATAGGATTTTTTTGAACCTCCCTTCCCGAAAAGGAAGAATGTGAAATTCTTTTTCCTTTTCGCAAGGACTAAGAGATTGGATATAGTCGTAAGAAGAATACTTGGCTGATAAATAACTCACTTCTTGGTCATCGACCTCCTCAGTCACTACGAACACCTCTTATCAGTGCAATGGGATGTGTCTATTTATTTATCTCTTAACTCGAAATGGGGCCAGGTTTGAAAAAGGATCTTAGAGTGTCTAAGGTGGGGCCTGGAGGGTCTCTTAAAGCCTTTTTTTTCTTCTCATCGGAGTTATTTCAAAAAGACTTTCCATGGTAAGGAAGAAGGGGGAACACACTTGGAGAGCATAGTACATCGGAGATTTGTATGCTATGTTCGGGAAGGATGAATCGCTCCCGAAAAAGAATCTATTGATTCTCTCCCAATTGGTTCGACCTTAGGTACAATGATTTACTTCGTGAGCAAGTTCTCCGGTTCAAGTCCAGGATGGTCCAGCTACGCCAAAGAAAAGAATAGAAGAAGTTTCGACTCCTTCATACATGCTCCACTTGGCTCGGGGGATATAGCTCAATTGGTAGAGCTTCACCCTTGCAATTGGGTCGTTGCAATTATGGGTTGGATATCTAATTATCTAGGCGGTAATGATAGTATCTTGTACCTGAATCAATGGATTACTTTTTCTAAGTAATGGGGAAGAGGATCGAAACATGTTATTGAAAGACTCTACCGATACAAAGATAGGCCGTCAAGAACGTAGAGGAGGTAGGATGGGCAGTTGGTCGGATCTAGTATGGATCGTACATGGATAATAGTTGGAGTCAACGACTCTCCTAGGGTTCCCTTATTTGGGATCCTTAGGGAAGAGGATGAAGTTGGCCCTTGCGAATAGCTTGATGCACTATCCCCCTTCAAACCTTTAGTGAAATGTGAAGAAAAAGGAAAATCCATGGACCGACCCCATCGTCTCCACCCCATAGGAACTACGAGATTGCCCCAAGGACGTCTTCATCATCCAAGGGTCGCAAACCGACCATAGAACCCCGTTCAATAAGTGGAACGTATTATCCGTTCGCTTTTAGGTTGGGCGGTAAGGGTCGAAGAAGCTCAATCACTCATTCTTAAAATCAGCATTCTTAAGACCAAAGAGTAGGACGAGAAAAAAAAAGGTAGCTCTCTCGTTCTTGGGTTTCCTATAACCGGATCCTCCGAACCACAAGAATCCTTAGTTAGAATGGGATTCCAACTCAAAACCTTTTGAGATTTTGAGAAGAGTTGCTCTTTAAAGAGCACGGTATGATGAAAGTTATACGCCGTGTTCAAGGAGGAGTTATTGTCTATCGCCGGCCTCTATGGTAGAATCATTCGAGTGCCCGAGAGGCGGTGGTTTACCCCGTGGTGGATGTCGGTAATTCGAGTCCGCTTATCTCTAACTCATAAGCTTAGTCGGTACAAAGCTATACAATAGCACCTAATTTTTTCGATTCGGCAGTTCGATCTATGATTTATCATTCATGGACGTTGATAAGATCCTTCCATTTAGCAGCACCTTAGGATGGCATAGCCTTAAAGTTAAGGGCGAGGTTCAAACGAGGAAAGGCTTACGGTGGATACCTAGGCACCCAGAGACGAGGAAGGGCGTAGTAAGCGACGAAATGCTTCGGGGAGTTGAAAATAAGCGTAGATCCGGAGATTCCCGAATAGGTCAACCTTTCAAATTGTTGTCGAATCCATGGGTAGGCAAGAGACAACCCGGTGAACCGAAACATCTTTGTAACCGGAGGAAAAGAAAGAAAAAAGTGATTCCCATAGTATCGACGAGCAAAATGGAAGCAACCTAAACCATGAAAATGGGGTTATGGGAGAGCAATACAAGCGTCATCGTCGCTAGATGAAGCGGTAGAGTGCTAAGCCCTGGATGGAGAGAGTCCGAGTAGCCAAAAGCATCACTAACATGCTATATACAATATTAAATAATTTTAAACATACTATCTCAATTAGATTAAATTAGGTTGATAGTCTATCAAAATTAGAGTTTATAACATTTATGCCAACTCACTATTATTTATTACCAAACAATTTAATTACTTTTTTTCACAAAACATCACAACATAACAATTAAATCACAACAATTACAAGAAAACCAAAAAATAACGATGGATTTTTCCATCGTTATATAGTAAAAATCCATTGCTATTTGTCCTTGGTGATGGATTTGCAATAACACGCTTTCTATAGTAAAAGTCATGTTGCTATTTATTTAGCAATAAAAAATTTCTTCCGTCACCGATTAGTGACGCCTAATTCGTTGCTAATGTGTAGAAATTCTATCGTTAAAGTGTAGTAAACAATTGTCTCTCCGGTCTTGTATTTATTGCAAAACAATTGCTAATTCATTATTTTCACTCCTAAATAGCAATAGAATTTTCATTGCTAAATTGTTCTCACTCAAGTTTCTTGTAGATCCGTCGTTATTTAACGATCATATTAGTATATGTTCTAAGTTTTATCGCTAATTCATCATTAAACGAAGGAAATTTTGATTTTTTTAATATAAATTAATACTCATTTAATGTTAATAATAGTAACAAATAATTAAAAATAATACCTTATTAACACACGATAATTATTTAATAAAATTAAAATAATGTAAATTGAAATCAAATAAATATGTAAATGCGTTAAGGTATACGAAAACATTAAAGACCTTTAAAAAAAAAATCCAATCATCATCATTTGTTGCATTATCTTTCAGCTTTCAACTCGTTGTGTATTGAGAAGAATGGTTGACTCTTAAGTTGTAAGGGGGTCGGTAGAAGGGAAATGAGTCTTTTACACGTCCCGTTGCAAAATCAATTAATAGACATTTAATGTTAATACTAGTAACAAATAATTAATAATAATACCTTATTAAAACACGATAATTATTTAATAAAATTAAAATAATGTAAATTGAAATCAAATAAATATGTAAATGCGTTAAGGTATACGAAAACATTAAAAACCTTTTTTAAAAAAATCCAATCATCACATGTTGCATTATCTTTTGGCTTTCAACTGTTGTGTATTCAAAAGAAATATGTAAATGCGTTAAGGTATACTAATGTTTCTAAAACTTTATGATTCAGCTTTAACTTAGATATTTCCTTTCCTTCATTCTCGTTGCTCGGTTGATACATCGGTAACTAATTAAATTGTTGTCGCTTACAAATTGGTCCGTCCACCTCTACCTCTTCTTGACTTTTGATTAACTTGGTATTTTCCCCTTTCAAGATGAATAAAGCTCCATCGATCATAAACTTTATCCACATATCTTTGACGTTCTAGGTAATATCTCCCAATTCATATAGCCATGTTATCCCCAAAATCACTTCATATACTCCCAAGGACATCACAAACACCGTCGTTTCGAACTCTCTATCTTGCATTCTCCATTGAAACTTTTTACAAATATACTCACATACAATGTTCCCCCATCTACTACCTTTACTCGTTGTATGTGAAATCTTGATTGATTCACACTTATTCTTTTTGGCAAACCACAAATCCACAAAACTATATGTACTACTAGTGTCTATAAGCATGGTCATTTTTCCTTCCACCCAAGTTCCTCAACACTCTCATTGTTTGATAACGTTCACCTCTTAATATAGCATAAGTTGATATTTTATACAGCTCAAAGTTTATATTTTTAGTGCTACCAACTTGTTCTACATAATCACTAATAAAATCATCATCATTTCTAGTATCCTCATTATCCTCAATCTCCAAGCATAAAGACTTGCTTCCCCTTACATTAATGACCTAGTGCATGTTTCTCATCACGAGTAATAACACAATCCCTTAAATCTTCTCTCATCCAATTCACGATTACTTGGGTAATCTTCTTGTTTTAAACATTGAGTTACCATTCCGGAACTAGGTTGGTAGAGCAAACGGATCTTTTTAGTTAGGCATTTGTGAATTTTGGTGATGCATTTGATTTTGTGTTAGAGCGGGATGGTTATTTCTTAGGAATTGGTTATGATTAGGTTTTCGAATATTTTAAAAGGTGTTTTAGTTAAGTGGTCTCGAGTTGAATGAAGGAGAGTATTTAGTAGAGAATCTGTGAGTTTGGGATTAGTTGTTTGGATTGGTTTCTTGCAATTTAGCCGGGGAAACAACTTCTTTAAGTGTTTTAGGTCACATTACTCTCATTGATACTTGTAAGTCAAGTTTCAACCTCATATAAAACAACTAATGATGTCTTCCTCTCGGTAATACTAATTTATTTATCATTCACACAAATATTTTTAGGTAAGATTGCACCTCATTCTCCTCGTTTCAATCCCATTAATTCAGCCATTGGATCACTAAACATCATAGTCCCAAATCTTATACTCATAGCTTCAATATAATCTTCTTACTCATAGCTTCAATATGTACACCATGTATATGTACATATATCTAATGCCATTCAAGTGCCTTATCCTCCAAATGAATAGCTGCTATATTTAATTTAGCTTCTTCAGTGTGTTTTGTCATATATGAAAAATTTCTCACACTTAAACACTCAGCCATTAAAGTCCTCACCAAAAAACTTAGGGAATTCTACTCGAGATACCCTACTATTAGTTTGATATCCTTAATGATCCCTATTATAACCACCATAACCATGTCGACCACTCGTTACCCATTGTAGAAACCTCGAATTCGAGCCCGTTAAACCCTCCCCTCTTACATTATCATTCAAGCCGTGGTTTAGTCCATTATTATGATCCATTTACCCATTTAAGTTTCTTGATACCCTAGGTTCTTTCATGGCTTCTCTCAATAATGCAATCTCATAATCATGCTTCTCAAACATAGTAGAACATTTATCACTAAGGTCAAAGATTAATTGAGATAAATGAGTTACTATTTCTTCAAGTTTCTTCAATCTTACATTCGCCATGTTGATTCTTCTCTTAAAACTCACAAGTGCAAAATCGTAGCTTTGATACCACTTTGATACATTCCAATTCCAAATCAAGAATAAAAAGATGAATTGAACAATTCTAAGATGAATCAAAAGCAATATGATATTTATTCAATTGAAATGGAAGAACAAGTTTTACAAAACAATGTTTAGAATTACAAATCAAATGAAAACAAAACAGAAAGGAAAAGAAATTACAAAGAGAAATTCAAAGAGAAAATAGAGAAGGATTGAATGCCAAAAGAATCGATCCTTTTCACGTTTTGCTTCTCTTGATTTATACGAGTGTTTGTTTCTTTTCCTAATAGTTAACTAACTTCCACGTAGGACAACTAATCTAACATCTCACTAACCGCATTCCACGTAAGCTAACAACTTCCCTCACGTGTGGTCGCTTATTCTTCCCACGTGTAAGCCTTCATATATTTTCCCAACGAGCTTAGGCAATGTTCAAGAAAATTCCCAAGCACTTAGGCAATCTTTAAGCCATCTCCAGAATGTGCTTAACATTATAGTACTTGACACTTTTGAAAATTTTCAAGTTTAAAATAACAAAAATGTTAAGAATTCCTAAAACTTGGTGCTTTTCATTTTAGAAGCTCTTTATATTAGAAGCTCTTCATTTTAGATATTTGATGTTTTTTTTTTCTAAGAATATTTTAAATTGATTTTCTTTTAGACATTTGGTTATGATCTAAAGCTTGGGATTTACTTTTAGATGTTATGCATATTGTTTATATGAATTATTAAGTTGGAAGATGATGAGGTTGGAAAAGCTTGAAGGGTGAAGTATCACCTTCATAGTTTGTACTGTGATGGACCTTCTGATGATTAAGTGTTGCTTGAAAAGAATGCGATGAAAGTATGAAAAAAAAATGATTGAATGGTGTTACCAAGAAAGAGGATAAATTTTATAATATTAATGGGTCACTGTTGAGCAAAAATAATGATATAATGGTCATCATGGATTAAATAAAAGTAGCATTGGAAGCCTATCTTTATTTAATGAGTGTACTATTTA